TGGCGGCCGCTGCCACCCTGGGAAGCGCCGTACACCGGCCACTGCGGCCGCTGCGGCTCGCCTCCCGAGGGCTGCACGCTTTCCTCGCTGCCTTCCTGTCGGCTCTCCTGCTGGCCCTCTCTTGCTGGGGCGGCCGGCGGCGGCGACCCGGAGCACCCCTGGGAGGGTCCGGCTTCAAAGGCGCTACGCCTGTCCCGCAAGTGCGCAGCCCCTTCGCCCCGCGGGAGTCTTGGAGGCGCGCGGCGCGCACAGCCCCGGTGGCCGGTACCTTTGGGCTGCTGAGCGGAGCCCTGCAGGGCTACGAGGTGCTTCACGCCCTGGGCTACGGCGCCCAAGCCGGTTTGGAGGGGCCCTGGCCCTGGTGGGCCTTCCAGCTAGGGCTGCGTCTGGGCGAGGTGGGTGTCGCACTCCCCTTGGCACTGCTGGGCCTCTACCCCGCGCTCTGCAACCCGCGTGTGCCAAGGCGCTGCTGGGCCAAGCTCTTCCGATTGTCGCCGGGACACGCTGCTCCGCTGCTGCCAGGAGGCTGGGTCCCTGGCACCCGGGACAAGGAGCCCCTGGGTAGCGCGATCGCGCGTGGGGACGCGGAGCTACTGCAGCTGTGTGCCCTAGCGGGCCCGGGCCCCGACCTCCTACTCCAGGGTGGCGGCTGCCGGGGCTTCGAAGGTGCAGGGGCCAATGCAACGCAGTCACCAGCCTCTTCCCCTAGCAGCGATTGCACGGTGGACTTCTGCCCGCCCTCACCTATCAACCTGCGGCGCAGCATCGAGGAAGCGCTCTGCAGTGAGGCGCTGTTGGCTCCTGGCCTCTTTCAGGGCACTGCCTTTGGGGAAGCCCTACCTGGACTCGGCCTCTACCGCACCGTCTCACTGGGGAACAAGACAGGAGCCAGACCCGGTGAGAGGTCGGAGACGGTCACTGGATCCCCAGCGCCTCCTGAGCTCCCTTCTCCGGGGGCCTGGCCCGCAGGCAGCAGCGCCTCATCTGGCTCTCTGTGTGGACTCTCCCGGGACAGCTCGTCCATGCTTCTGTGTTCCAGCCCCGACAGGCCTCCACGCTGTCCGCTAGTTTGCGTTCTCAGTCCCCCGCGGCCGTCGGATAGCAGCCCCAGCCTCCCAGCCTCAGGATCCTACCAGGCCCTGTCCCCACCCTCCCGTGACTCCCCTGAACATTCTTCTGAGTTGCAGGCTGAGGAGGCATTGCTGCATGAGCAATTCCTGGATGCCTGCCGACAGATTGATGAGCTGAGCGTGGGTAGCGACACCATAGACCTGTGAAAAGGCGGCTGTCTCACAGCCAACAACCCGTTTGCCCCCGCTTTTTTTTTTTTTTTTTTTTTTTTTTTTTGGCTACTAATCTGCCCAAGACCTGCACACTGTAATCATTCCCCAATTCTGCCTGGTTCAGATACCTCTTTTTGATTCCTCCTCATCCAGGGGCCCCTGGGTGGGTGAGTCAGCAACCAGGCTCTGTGGATTGGGAATCAGTGCCAACTTCTCTGGAGCCGTGGGTGCTGATGCCCCCAGCTGCAATTTTAGGCTGGCAGGGTCTCACTTTCCTTGGCCTTCACCAGCAATAAAGCTCCAAGGTGCTCCACTCCTGACCAATCCCACTCCTACCCCAGTGCTGAGTGAGACAGCTATCCTCAGAAGACCGAGGGCCTTGTCTGGGCTCCGTCCCCACTTGTGCCATCTCCTTCATGGAGTCATCATCCCCTGTAGCTCATCCAAGAGAACTTACAGCAGCTGGGTGGGAAATGGGCATTTTCAGAGTCGATGTATCAATAAAATATTTTCAGAGGAGATTGTTTCCACCTTCTTGGAGGCGCTTAAAGGGGGCTACAACTTCAGCAGCTCTACCAGAAGCGGAAGTGGAGTGGGTCTGCCTCAGACTCCTAGGGACCTTCCCACCAAAGTGAGGATTCTTGTGGTGAGCGAGTCCTGAGAGCAACCCCTGGAAGTGGACCATCTGACTGCCTGGCCAGTGTCTTTTCCTAGAGGATACCGCCCTGAGAGGTGGGGGCAGGGCACTTGAGCCCTCGGTGAAATGCCTTTGCTCCTCATAGCCTGGAGTCAGGAGCCGGCTTCCTGGGAGCTAGCGAACAATAAAGACCTTCATGGAACATGGCCACACCTGTTAAAGGGCCCGAGTGCCTCAGGTTAAGCCATCCAACAACCTGCCTGACAAGTTCCCCTGAGAATTTACAAAGAGGAAACTGCCTTTTCTCATCAACAGGGCCTCTTAAGCTGGGCTCAGGAGAACCCCGGGCCCCCTTTCCCACAGAGCTCTCATCTCTGATCCTCTGAAGAAAATCTGTCTCCACTGCCCATCTCTTGCCACCGCCCTAGGTTAGTCCTCGAAGCAGAGCTCAGGACGCAGAGCCATGAGCACATCCAGCCACCAGAAGGAAGTATCCTTCCCTCCCTGGAGCGATTAGCCTTCAGTCATACTCACTCTGCCTTTGTTGTTTGGTTAAAATGTAATGGCTCATGGTGACACAAAGTAGGGTCTTGGATCAGGTTTGAAAGTGAAAAGCTGGCAGTGTTTGGCAGACATCCTGCATCTCACAGAGAAACCTGCAGGGGCATACACATTAGGCTCCAAGTGGGAAAAAAACAGGAATCTTAGTGATTGCACACACACACACACACACACACACACACACACACACACACACACACCTCAAACTTGGATCATCGGTAATGGGGATTGGAGCAAAAAGGCTAGGAGCCAAAAGAGAAGCAGGAAGGAGATGAGAAGCCTGAGGCCATTGTTCCCTGCAAACAAAGATCTGTCCTGACTGAGGAGAGCATCAGGGTCCCGGACCTCTGTGGAGGTCCTCAGAGAGAGGAGGTCCTCAGAGGGAGGAAGGAAGTCAGGGACGTCTGAGGGAGAGTAAGAGTCCTGGTGGAGAAGAGAAATGGAGGCAGCGGTGCAGATGAGGCTGAGGTATGAACCTGGAGCGCTCGCGACCATGCCTCCTCCATCACCTGGCTCAGCGGGGCTCAGAAGTTCTTGCCGCATCCTCACTCTGGGCTATGGCCCAGAGAACTGCCAGCTTCCTAATTACAGGCATTTCTCACTGGTGTCATAGTGGCTGCAGTGGGCTCAGAGCGTTGGCACTGCATTGCGTCATGCAAGGAATGCTTGCTGCTCGGGAAAACTGGTCTCCTTCTCACCCCATTTCCCCTACCAGCCGCTTGCTTTTCATCTGCATCCGCCCAGCTCCCCTGTCACCTCTTCCTCATGCTCATCCTCCCCAGCTGCTCACTCTTGCTCATCCTCCTCACTGAACCCGACTGGCTTCATGTACTCCCCTCCCCTGAGCACCCAGTCCAAATCTGGAGCTTCCCCATTCAGTCTGTTTGTTTCTCTCTCAGACACTTGGTTTTGCTCTGAAAGCTCTGAATGCAGCTGATGAGAAAGGAGGCTAAAGGAATATTTCTCATTACTCACCAGATCCAACACTTTGTCGGTTTTCCTACATAAGAATTACTACTAGGGTTGGAGATATGGCTCCGCAATTAAAAGAAATTTCTTTGATTCCAGAGGGCCTGAGTTCCATTCTCAGTGCCCACGGTGGGCTGCTCACAATCGAAAGTAACCAGTTCTAAGTGATCTGATGCTCCCTTCTGTCCTTCATGGGAAGCTCTCTACTACACGTATTGTGCACACACACCCCTACACTCACATGAATAAAAATAAAAATAAATCTTAAAAACATTTCCTTTAGCCCTTTCACTTACAAAGAAGCCAAGGCTTCGATAAGCCCCACCCTTTTATCTCAGGCCTCATGCCTTACCCAAAGCAGGCTTCTCAGGAGGAATACAGGTTGATCCTAATACAGATATCCTGGAGCTCCAAATTTTGGTACTGGGAGGTACTGAGAGACAAACTTTCATTCATTCATTCATGAGTTCATCCACTCCATATCCAAAGATATTTGTCAAGCTGGGCGGTAGTGGCGCATGCCTTTAATCCCAGCACTTGAGAGGCAGAGGTAGGCGTATCTCTGTGAGTTCGAGACCAGATCTAGGACAGGCTTCAAAGCTTCAGAGAAACCCTGTCTCAAGAAACAAAACAAAACAAACAAACAAAAACTCCAAAACAATCCCCCAAAATCCAACAACAACAACAACAAAAACAACAAAATGCGTTTGTCAAATGTTTGCAATATGTCAGGTAATGAGGACAAAAAAGCAAACAAGGGCAGAAGCCATGTATATGTGACATTTGAGGTCTTGTGGAGGAAAGGCAAGCGTTAGTTACAGGAAGTCATTAATAGCACAAGCAATTATTACAGTTGTGAGAAGTGGAAAGAACAAGAGCTAATATTTTAGAAGGTTTGGCTTATGGGGAGATGGAGGAGTGGAGCCAGAGGGATGGGGCCTGAGAAAGGCTGGCTAAGAACAGCCCAGGCTTCTCTTCCCTCCTTCTCAGGCTTCCACACATTGATGGATGAGGGATAGGCCGGCAGCTTATTTCCCTTGGAAGCCACCTCCCAGGGTCCCATGACTCCTGCTATTTAATAAAGAACCCTGCATGTGTCCTGAGCAGATGGATGAGCAAATATTCCTGACTGAAGAACCATGCGCCCTCCCTGATATGAACGGATAGAAGGGGATGGGGCAGGAAACAGACGGGGGTTCACATCTGAGTAAAGGGGAAGACAGACCGGGTCAGTTTTACTGTGTATCCGCCCAGGGACACAGACCCTGCACTATGGGTGTTTGCTGCCCCCTGATGGACATAGGGAGTTTAGTTTTTACTCTTTAAGGAAAAATTGAATTTAGGGTATTTAGAACATTTGGGGGAGGGGGTTCAAGTGGATATGAAACTCCCCGATACCTACAGCAGCAATGACTGGTTCCCAAAATTTACAATTTAGTATTTGAGGATAGAATTTCGATTCTTAACGGCGGTGGTGGGATGGGGGAAAGAAAATGGAATCTCAAACCAATTTTATTTAAAAGATTCTACTTACTTCTTTTGCCCATTTTACTATTTATATTGGATAAGGTTGGCTTAGTGGTAGCCTTGACAATCTGTTTTTGTATTTCAGTGCCTTTTCTCTTGATTTATCTATTTAAATTTAACTGTGGTATGGGTTCTTTTTCCAAAAGCACATATTATTTATTGAAGCTAGCTAAGGCTTCATAAATTTCATGCTTAGTGTCCCCCCCCCACCACTACCAATAAGTCATCCATTCATCTATCCAAAATATACTGAAAGTGGTGAATCTGGGGAATTTTCACTGTACCTTCCATTCTTTGTGGTGTTTTCTACCTACCATGTGGCTGTAATTTTAAAGTAAAGTTTTTAAAAGTGCATTGGGTGTTTTTTTGCAGCTAGGTATTTTGCCAGTGCAGCAGTTTTCCATATAGGACAGACAGTGAGCACACCTGAGTGTGCAAATCCTGCAGTTAACCCAGACTCTGTCTGATGAACAGCCACAAAGGAAGATGATGCTCTTTCTCTGGGCAGCAGTATGTTCTAGGTCTGTGCGTGTAGCTGGGTGTTATGTTTGCCTTGGGTGTGCTCTGATGTGATTTTTTTTAAATGTATACAACATTCTGCTTCCATGTATTCCCACATGCCAGAAGAGGGCACAGATCTCATTACAGATGGTTGTGAGCCACCATGTGGTTGCTGGGAATTGAACTCAGGAACTCTGGAAGAGCAGTCAGTGCTCTTAACCACTGAGCCATTTCTCCAGCCCGCTCTGATGTGATCTTGCAGACATTTTTTATAGGAGTTAAAAAAAGAAAATCTGTCTCTCGCTCCAGACTATTTTATATGAAAACAGAGGCCCTCCCTCTTTTCAGGCAACCGGTTTTTATCCCTAAAGCCTGGCATATAGTAGGGACTCAATAAAATTAATTATTGAAAATATAATTTTGTAACATTTGTTCTGTTTGAATTTTAGTAGACACAATTAGTCTCTGAGGCCAGGAGACCTTTTGTCTCATGTTTCTTGAGGACATAAAAATTGTTCAAACAATGCATGTTACATCCTTGTGTCTATGACGTTTTGACTGAGGTTTTTGCGTGTAATTTGGGGAACTGTGGAGACCCTTCAGACAAATTTATTGAACACCCACTCTATGTCAGATGTAGGCAAGGCTTCGAGGGAAAATGACTTCTGTCTGTTTTGGTGAATCTGGGTTCGATCTCCTAAAACAAAGATTTTTTTAAGAGAGGGTAAATTGTTGACGTCACGTTTCACTTAGTGTCAGGGACGGTGCTAGGTTTGCATGTAGAGGGTCGCTCAAAAAGCTCCGCCCCCAAGACGTCATTTCTTGTTTTTCATTCCGGAACTTTTTTCTTCCCCACTGCGCTTTCTCCCCGGACTCTTTTGAGCCACGAGTGCTTCCGGTGTCTCCCGGCAACTTGGCGGGGTCTTCCTGCCGGAGCTCGTCTCTGGACTCGCTTGCGTTGGTGAGCTTCCCTCGTGGCCTTTCACGCTTATTTCCCGGTCTCATGGCCGGTCTGACTCTGTTTGTGGGCGGTCTCCCGCCCTCGGCTCGCAGTGAGCAGCTGGAAGAGCTGTTTAGTCAGGTGGGTCCGGTGAAGCAGTGCTTTGTGGTGACTGAGAAAGGTAAGGAGTGGGATGGCGGAAAAGGCTTGGTGCTCCTGGGAGCTAGAACACGCCGAATTTCAGGGAGCTATGTAGTTACGGTTTGCTTGTTTTGAGGCAAGGATCTTATTCTGTAGCCCAGACTGGCCTTGAATTCGCTACCAGTAGCTCTCCTGCCTTAGTTTTCTGAATCCTCTGAGTAAATGACAGGAGCCA